TCCTGCGAACACGGAGAGAGAGAGAGAGACAGATGGAAATTACTCGCCGAGACAACACAGAGGGAGCACTCAGAGAGATGATTTCGGGGATCCCCAAGGTTTCCCCCCACCCACCCCCTCGTGCGCCGTGCTGGCCTTCACGGGCGCTAGCCAAAAGCACTTTCCCCCACTTTAGTCACACGTGACGGGTGCAGAGCTTTGTACGTTCTCCCCCTGTTCTGCACGGGTTTCCTACGGTTCCCTCCCACAGCGAAAACCTACACAGAGTGGGACTGGCATTGGCGTTACGAATAGCAGCGGCGGCAGCAGCATCGCCCCCCCCCACCCCTCCCCCCCCTTCCTGCATAAAAAAAAACACAACTTGGCAGGACCCTCCTGAGAAATAGTCTTGAGGGCTCGGCGAGGCTTTGGCTCGGTGGCCGCGCGGAGTCCCAGGAATGGTTTAACGCCACGCCAGAGAGAGCCCCGCAAGGAGCGGGCGGGCGGACGCGGCGACCGGTGGCGCGGTTCTACCGAGGAAGTAGTGGATGTAGTTCACGGCGCAGCTTCTCCAGGCCAATCTCCAGCAGCAGCTGCACGGGCGCCAGCCCCGCCAGCGGCACCGGCTCCACTGCCACCACCGCGGCGCCGCCGATGCCGCCACCGCTCTCCAGAGACCGCTGCACCACGCGGCTTAGCTGGCTCGCGCTGTCGCGGTGAGTCTGGGTACCCGCGGCGAGGGGGGGGGGAGGTGGGAGGTCAGCAGAGGTCACGGGGTGAAGCAGCAGGGGTCAAGGGTGAACGTGTATGTGCGAGTGAAAGCGTGTGAGCGACAGTGTGTGAGTGGCTAGTAGGGAGCACAGGAGGTGCATCTGTTGGTCATCTCGGTCAACCCATGGCACCTGGGCCTGTCCCGTGACCCTCCTGTCGGCGAGCCTTCCACACTTCACGTGGCCACAACGTGTACCTAGCCTGGCACAAGCGCTGTGGTGACATCACTGCCAATTAGTGGAAAACAGGCAGCTGTTCGTGATGGGGGAGTGGTGCTGTGGCTGTTCAGCGCACTGCGCTACGAACCGTGCAACCACGAGTTAAATTCCTGCTCACAGCCAACACCAGTGATGCATATCCGAACGAGGCGATTCAGTCTTATACGAGTACATGACGAGGTGTGTAAACAGCACTGGGGAGACGAAGGCTGGGCGTGATGCTGGCCACGCACACCCTTGCGTGCCGCGCCGGCCTGTACAGGTGCTGCTAATCGCTAACACCACTTGCCCCGATGGCTACACGGGGGATCTTTGTCCTTGTGCGAGAGAGAGGCAGAGGGGGGCGACTGACCCACGCTGGATGTCACCGCGCTCCAGGCTCTGCAGGACCAGGCGGAGGCACTTGACCAAGTCGGAGTAACCAGAAATGGCTGTGACACATGCACGCACGGAGACACGCGCACACAGACATCACACACATCACGTGTGTCATTTCCGCACCTCCGATGAGCTATGTATAGTGCGAAAGATGTTCAGCATACACACATCACACACAAATAACAAACATGCATAGTAGGCACAGGAGGCATCCGACTCATCAGCCTTGCCTGTGTCCCACCACTGATGTTCATCTCCAGTGGGGGCGGAAGCCTCCACACCACCACCACCATTCCACGCCTCCCACTGATGGGGGAGGCGAGCCCACTAAACCCTGGGACTCGCAGCTTCCCACACCTCGCCACCGCGTTCCCACTCCCACCCATCATTCTTTTGTTCAGTACAACAGCAACAGCCGTTGTTTTGCCAGTACGTGGTGGTGACATCACCACTGTGCTCGTGCCAGGCTAGGTGCACCTTGAGGGCACATAAAGCATCGAAGGCTCGCCGGCAGGAGGTCACGGAACAGACCCAGCTGCCATAGGTTTACAGACTGAGATGACTTGCGGATGCACCACCTGTGCATCCTACTGTGCCACCTCGCTGCGTGTTATCCGCCGGGCGCTCCGCTCGTTGTTGTGAACGTCGCTCCCCAGCCCTCCGTTGTTGTTGGAGGGCAAATGCCTATAACTGCCCAGTAGCATCCTTCAAGAGCCTCCTCCAGAGGTCGATCTTGGCACCGCTGGTAACAGCCATCAGGAAGTCCACTCCAGATCCTCCTGCACCCCATCAGTTCCATCTCTTCTCTAGACCATGCTGTGCCCATTTAGCGCCATCTATCCAGCCAAACGTAAGCCTGCTTGAACATTCGGTGGCTGGACATGCGTCTACACACTCAAGACGCACACTCACACATGCGCACACTCACATGCACACACTCGCACACGCGCGCACACACACGCACACACACGCGCACTCCCATCCACATCGCTCTGGGCAGCACGAGGCCGTTCTACCCAGATTTACATCCAGCGCCACTCAACCGGCGTCGTACAGTTTGTCGGCCAGGGTTAAGGAGTCAGGGGTCACGTACCGGACTTGACCTTGACCCAGAGCTGCTCGGTGAAATCGAGGTCGCTACGCTTGGGCACGGCAGACGCCAAGATGATAGCGTCCACCGAGGTGCTGCCCCCCCGCGACTCCTGATTCATCGCCATAGAAACGACACGCAGGCACACGTTGGGGTGGGTGGGGTCGATGCCATCACCGCTCGTGACCACGCAGCCACCACTCCTCATTGCTCGTGGGATCGCGATCGGTATGGCACCTTTATTATTATTATTTACCACGATTCCGCTTGTTCAACCGAGCAGAGAGGCTCGCCGAGTCTCAGGAGTCTTTGTCGGGAGGGTGCTGTCAAGTTTCCGCAGCAGGGGACGATGTTGCTGCTGTGCGAGATCTCGATTTGAGTGACTTTTTTTTTAATTCGGGAATGTGGTTTGGCCAAGACCACCAGTTCCACTGGGCGTGTGGGTTTAGCTATGGGAGGAGGAAAGCGGAGAACCCGGAGGAAACCCACACGGAACAGGGGGAGAGAACACACAACTCGGCAAAGCACCCGTGTCGGGAATCGAACCCAGGTCCAAACTTGCTGTGAGGCTGCCCTGCTTTACACAACCACTAGCTTTACTACTCGGCTTCGCCCGAGACTGGATTCTTGTCTGGATTAATACACGGCCTACGCGGAGGGGGTTGGGGGGGGGATGCGTGACGTCAGCAGGCCACGTGTGAGTGACATCACAGATGTGACGTCACCGCTCAATGGCCGTGCAAAATATATCCATTATTGCGCCCCCCCCCCCAAAAAAATAATATACAAAAGTCTATTTTTATACTTTTTGCATTGTGTACAGTCTGGAAGCTACCCACATGCCAAATTCCAAGTTTGTTGCATGTCGGGAAGTATGCTAAGCATTTCGAACAGACACACATTCACAAATTTCCCTTATTTATATATATAGATATTAAGCTGGGTTACAGCCAGCCTCACACACACTGGCACAGGGCAGACAAAGACCCCGGACGTGTAGCCTTGAACAGGCTGTTGGGGCAAGTACCACCTGTGAAGGCCGGCACGGCTCACAAGCGGGAGGTGTGGCCTGCACCACGCACGGCCGCCTTTGTCTCCCCAGTGCTCTGACGTTTACAGCCCACACTGGGTTCTCATTTGAGGCCGAGTCAACCTAGCGGAGCCCCAGGCCCACTTCGGATAATCTCCACCGGTGCTGTCCGTGATCGGGAATCGAACTCGGGTGGCTGGGTAACGTTGCCCGGTGCCCTAACCACTGCGCCACCACTCCCACACCGCCGAACACAACAACAACCGGCGTTCACCACTAAGTGGCGGTGACGTCACCACGGCGCCTGTGCCATGCTAGGTGCACAATGAGGCCACGTGAAGTGTCGAAAGCCCGCGAGCGGGAGGACCGACCACACGCGCGCGCGCACACACACATACACCGAGGGTACACGCAGACGGGTACACGCACACACAACTGCGGGCGTACCGACGCACCCGACGCGGAGTGTAACGCGGTAACGCGAGCGCGTTACCTCCTCCGTCACCTCCGGGGTCTGTGGGAAGTTCTGGCCGCTCTTCATCTCTGCGAACGAGGAGAGAGGCGGCCGGCGCCGGGGGTCAACGGGGGTTCACGCACGGGAACCGCCACCCTCCCACGGTGTGGGTGGTTGTGCATGGGTTGTCCGTGTGCAAAGGAGCGGTGGCGCAGCGATTGGCGCACCACGCTACGAACCCGCGCGACACGCGTTCCCGATTCCCCCTCAGGATGACAGTGGAGGATATTTGAACCGGTCCTGGGCCTCGCTGCGGTCGACTCAGCCTTTAAAATGAGCACTGGGAAGACAAAGGCGGCCGGGAGGGGGGTGGTGCTGGCCATCCACCCTCTCGTGTGCCGCGTCGGCCTTCGTAGATGCTCGGCCTCAAAGGCTACACGGGGGGTATATGTGTGTAGGGCGGTGTGGCGATATGTGTGACCATGTGTGTGTGTGTGGGGGAGTGTTTGAAGATGGTTGGCGTGAGGACAATGGAGCATAGTGTATTAGTGCGTGTGGGGTTGGTGGTGCGTGCTGTATGTGTGCAGGTGTATTTGATGTGTATATGGGTGAGTGCAGTGTGTACAGGTGTGTGGGGCGCCGCGGTGGTGAAATGTTAACTACCTTGCCAGATATACAGGAGGTTATGGGTAAGATCCCGACCCTACGCATGTATACACGGAGTTTGCATGTTTTCCCCGTGATCGTGTTGATTTTCTCCAGGACCTCTGGTTTTTCACTCCACATTTAGAATCAACATTTGGCTGCTATTAATGTCCACGCGATAAGCCACTTGGTTGAGCTATCATTTGTGGCCAGGACGCTTCTGAAAAAGAGCTTTATAGATCATTGGGCCTTACCTGGAAAAATAGTAAATAATGGTAGTGTGGTCGGTGTTTGGTGGGTGGATGCATGTGTTAGGTGTAGTGTGTCAGTGTGGTGGGTGGATGTGTGGTGGTGTGATGGTGTGGTGGTTTGTGTGGTGTGTCAGTGCGGTGCTGTGTGTGGTGGGTGGGTGTGTGGGGGTGTGTGGTGTGACGGTGTGTGTGGTGGTGTGACCGTGGTGGTGGTGGCATGACGGTGTGGTGGTGGTGTGACGGTGTGTATGGCAAGTCATAGTAACTGCCCGTCGTTGTTTATGCTCCCCGAGGGGGGTGGATGGAAGGGGAGGGGGTTCAGTCCCTGGCTCCGTCAACTGGGTTTTGGCCGGGAGAGACGTCACCGACGTCACCGCCGTCCCCCCGGCACCCTGCGGTCCGTGCACGTCGCCCACTGCGCACTCCTCCGAGCTTCTCTGCTCGCGACGCCGACGGTGGAGTGGGAGGCACGGTCAGCCCCCCCCCCCCCCCACCACCAGGACCGGAGCCCCTTCGCCGGCACGGCGCCGGACGCCGCCGCGCCCCAGAGGGCCACGGCTCCAGCGGCACGCGAGCCTCTCGGCCGACGGCGTCGCTCGCAGCGACCCCGCGGTTGTGAACGTGAAGAAGGTCCCCCGTGCAGCCTACACGGCAAGTGCCGTCGGCGAGCAGCGCATACCAATGTCGGCACGACGCACCTACGAGGGGGTGGTTGTGTGGACAAGGCCACGCGCTCACCGGCCGCCTTTGTCTCCCCAGTGACGATTTTTACACAGGTCCGTCCCGTGGCCTCCTGCCAGCGAAACCATCGGCGATTTACGTGCCCGTACAGTGCACCTAGCCTGGCACAAGCTCCCTGGCGACGTCACATGGTGGTTGTTGTGTGTGTAGGTGTGTAATTGGTGTGTGTACGCGCGTAATGGATGTGTGTGTTTATAGGTGGGTGGGTGTAATGGGTGTGTGTGTGTAGGTGGGTGGGTGCAATAGGTGTGTGTGTGTAGGTGGGTGGGTGTAATGGGTGTGTGTACGTGGGTGTGTGTAGGTGGGTGTGCGTAAGGGGTGTGTGTGTGTAGGTGGGTGTACGTAATGGGCGTGTGTGTAGGTGGGTGTATGCGTGTGTTCATAGGCTACATGGGATCTTTGTCTTCGTGTGTGGGTGTGTCATGGGTGTGTGTGTGTACAGGAGGGTGTATGTGTGTGTGTGTGTATAGGAGGGTGTCTGTGTGTGTATAGGTGGGTGTGTGTGTGTAAGTGGGTGTGTGGGTATAGGAGGGTGTCTGTGTAGGTGGGTGGGTGTGTGTACAGGAGAGTGTGTGTGTAGGAGGTTGGCACAGTAGGGGGCACAGGTGGTGCTTCAGCCAGTCATCTCAGTCATCTTAGTCAGTCGACCCGTGGCACTTGGGTCTGCCCCGTGACCTCCTGCCAGCGGGCGTTCGACACTTCACGTGGCCTCAAGGTGCACATGGCCTGGCACAAGCGTCGTGGTGACGTTACCGAATGGCGGTTTTTGTGTGTGTGTACAGGAGGGAGGGTGTGTGTGTAGGTAGGTGTGTAATGGGTGTAATGTGTGTGTGTAGGTGTGTGTGTGTAGCTAGGTGTGTGTACAGGAGGGTGTGTGTGTGTAGGTGGGTGTGTGATGGGTGTGTGAAGGTGGGTGTGTATGTGTAGGTGTGTGTGTGTACAGGAGGGAGGGTGTGTGTGTGTGTGTGCACGTGGACCTGACACCCACGCCCTCCCTGCCCTAACATCACTGGGCAGGTACCCTGGCCAGGCGCTGGGCCGTGACGCCAGCGCCACCTCGCGATGAGTGGCGGCTACTGGCGGGTGTGGTTATGGCAGAGGTGGCGGTGGTGTCGTTAATGATTGTGGTGGTGGCGGTTGTGGTGATGGCGGTTGTGGTGATGGCGGGTGTGGTGATGGTGGGTGTGGTAATGGCGGGTGTGGTGATGGCAGAGGTGGCGGTGGTGTCGTTGATGATTGTGGTGGTGGCGGTTGTGGTGATGGCGGGTGTGGTGATGGTGGGTGTGATGATGGCGGGTGCGGTGATGGCGGGTGTGATGATGGCGGGTGCGGTGATGGCAGAGGTGGCGATGGTGTCGGTGGTGATTGTGGTGGTGGCGGTTGTGGTGATGGCGGTTGTGGCGGTTGCGGTGATGGCGGTGATGGTGGCGGTTGTGGTGATGGCGGTGGTGGTGATGGCGGTGGTGTCGGTGATGATGGTGGCGGTTGTGGTGATGGCGGTGGTTGGCGGCGGTGATGATGGTGGCGGTTGTGGTGATGGCAGTGGTGGTGTCGGTAATGATGGTGGTGGTTGTGGTGATGGTGCTGATTTTGAAGCTCATGTTATCAGCAGCAGTTGAGGTGCTGCTGTCGATGATTGGTGATGTGGCTGTTCTAAGCGATGGTGTTGGTGTTGTTAGTAGTGGTGGTGTTGTTGTTGACGTATATTAGCATAGGTGTTTTGTTGATCTATCGCTGTGCGATTATGTTGTTCGTGATGTTGCTTATAACGATGTTGTTATTGTTGGTGCTGATGACGATGTTAGTATTGTTGTTGATGATGGTATCAGTATTGTTGTTGTTGACGATGTTAGTATTGTCATTGTTGATGACATTATTGTTGTTGACGATGTTCGTATTGTTGTTGTGGTTGTTTTGATGACGATGTTTGTATTGTTGTTAGTATTGTTGTGGCTGATGACGATGTTAGTATTGTTGTTGTTGTTGTTGATGATGTTAGTATTGTTGTTATTGACCTTCGAGCAGCGAGCCCACGATTTCACTCGCAGGCCGCGTCTCCAGCACCTCGGGCCACTCCATCTCCCCCGTGCGCAGGCCCCGCGCCAGGGCCTAGCCCACACCAACACACACAGGGGTACCCGCTCATAGGGGGTCCTCATTCACAGGGGTCGTTGCTCACAGGGATCCCTCGCTCACAGGTGTACCCACACTCAATCACGCAGCGACTCGGACACACACATTCTCATATGTAGCACTGTGCTAACCACTGTGCCACCGCTCTCCACACACACACACACTCTCACACTGCCTCCCACAAGGACAAAGATCCCCCTCATAGCCTTAAGCGGACTTTTGGGACAAGTGCTGTTAGCGAGCACCTATGAAGGCCGGGGTGTGTGGCCAGCACCATGCCCAGCCACCTTTGTTTCCCTAGTATACGAGGTTTAAACACCGGGACCAGGTACTCATTTGACGCCGAGTTGACCTAGGGGAGGCCCGGGACCGGTTAAATTAACCGTCACCGGTGTTGGCCGCGAGCGGGAATCAAACTCGGGTCGCCGGGTTCGTAGCGCAGTGCGCTCTCCACTACGCTACCGAAGGCAATAATCCCCGTGTAGCCTCAACAGACTCTTGGGGCAAGTGCCGTTAGCGAGCAACCATGAAGGCCGGCACGGCGCACGAGCGGGTGGGGTTGGCCAGCACCACGGTCGGCCCGCCAGTGTCTCCCCAGCGGCGATGTTCACACGCGCCACCAGGTAACTAATTTGAGGCCGAGTCGACCTAGGGAAGGAGGCCCAGGACCGGCTCAGATAATCGTCACGGGTGTTGCGACCCCGCTGCCCCCCCCCGCCACCCTCGCACACGCACCAGCAGGAAGTCGAGCTCGCGGTAGAGAGAGAAGGCCGGGCTCCGTGGGTCGCCGGGCTCGACGCGCAGAAGCTGCACCCCGCACACACGCACACGAAAGACAACGATCCCCCCGTGTAGCCCACACGGGCTGTTGGGACAAGTGCCGTTCGCGAGCACAGTGCTTATGAATGCTGGAGCGGCGCACCTACGAGGGGGTGGTGTGGCGAGTACCTTCGGGGGGTGGTGTGGCAAAGACCACGACGCCCAGCCGCCTTTGTCTCCCCAGTGCTGATGTTTAACTCCCCGCACCAGGTACTCATTTGAGTCGAACCCAACCAAGTGGAAAAGGTTCAGATTATAATCCGTCACTGGTGTTGGCCGTGAGCAGCAATCAAACTCTGGTTGCCACTAAGCAAAGATCCCCCTTGTAGCCTTAACAGACTGTAGGAGCAAGTGCTGTTAGCGAGCACCTATGAAGGCCGGAACGGCATACGAGGGGGTGGGTGGCCAGCACCACGCCCAACCGCCTTTGTCTTCCCGGTGGCGATGTTTACACACCGCACCGAGTCGACCTAGGAGAGGCCCAAGATCAGTTCAGATAACCGTCACTTGTGTTGGCCGTGAGCGGGAATGGAACTCGGGTCGCCGGATTCATGGCGCAGCGTAGCGCTAACCGCTACACCACTCGCTCCCCACACACACACTCATCGAGGGTGGGACGATGTCAACGCGTGACACAGCCTCACCAGGGCCTGGACCCTAACCAGGGTCCCCCGACGCCCTCACCGAGTCCCCCGCTCACCAGGGTCCCCGTAGCGTCGGCGGGCGGAGGCTGGCCCAGCTGGGCCACGCGGCTCCAGGTGAAGTCGAGCAGGAGGCTGCTCTGAGCCTCGGGGCCGGCCAGCGGTGCTGTCGAGTCCAGCGCGACGTTGGCGCCAAATACATCGTACCGCACGTACGCACGCGTCTTCACCTGCTCGCACGCACAGTCACACGCGCGCAGTCACGCACGCATGCACACGCGTGCAGTGGCACGCACAGTCGCACGCACACGCGCAGTTACACATGCGCAGTCACACATGCGCAGTCACACGCGCGCACATTCGGCAGGAGTGCGGTGCGGCGTGGCTCCTCACCGCACTGGTGTGGTGTCTCTGCTTGTGGGCATCGCACAGCTTGTCCAGGGCGGGCAGTGCCACACGGCGTGGTACAGGCCCTGCTCAAACACAAACACGTCTGTGTGGGCACGCGTTGTGCGCGTGCCCACGACCGCTCCATGGGGAGCAGTAGCGTGGCGGTTAAACGCTACGAAGCTGGCGACCCGGGTTCGAATCACGGCCACAAACACCGGTGACGATTATCTGAACTGGTCCTGGTCCTCCCCTAGGTTGACACAGTACCCTGGTGCAGTGTGTAAACATCGCCCACTAGGGAGACAAAAGCGGCCGGGCGTGGTACTGAGCACCCACCCCCTCGTGTGCTGTTCCGGCCTTCATAGGTGCTCGCTAACAGCACTTGCCCCAACAGTCTGTTCAAGGCTATAGGTGTCATGTATCAAACAAAGATGTAAACAAAGATGTCACACAGGAGTATCATACGTCACACTTGAGTCACACACACACACGTATGACACAGGAGTCACACACACATACACGTCACACACAGGCGTCACTACATCCCACCTTGGCACGTGGCTGTGTAGAGCGTGACTCCTTCGGCGCTACGCTGACCTTTGCCCTGAGCCTGAACCCTGGCTCGGCCCTTCGACCCCGGCGCCCCCAGGATGGGCACGGCCCCGAGCCAGCACGTCCCCTCGGGGTCTGCGGCATCACACGCCACCCACAGGGGCGGCAGGGCTCCCGCAGCGCCTCGCGCAGGCGGCCAGGGGGCCCGCAGGGGTCCCTGAGCCAGCATGTACCACGAGACGAGCCGCCTGCGGGGCAGAGGGGGCAGCAGGAACGGCGATGACGATGACAACGTTGACGATGCGTTGTTAGCAGAGCGGGTGTTAGCGAGTGCCTACGAAGGCCGGAACGGCACACAAGGCGGTGGCTGCCCAGCGCCATGCCCGGCCCGCCTTTGTCTCCCCGTTGGCGTGCCGATGTACAGACGCCGTACGGGGTATGCACACGCGCGGAACTCACCGCGCGACCGACAGGGGGAGGGCGAACGAGTCGGGGGCGGCCGGGCACTCCTGCTCCGACAGGCGACGGGGGCTGGGGAGGGGGCCGCCCGTTGCGGGGCTCTCCAGCCCGGATGCATCGGTGTCGTTGTTGTCGTCCCCGCCCGGCCCCCCCGGCCCCCTGAACTTGGGGGGTCCGGCGGCCGGGTCCCCCTGCTCCTCCTTCACGTCGCGTCTCTCGGCCAGCAGCACCGCTCGGCCGGCCGCGTCGCCCACGAGGCTCAGCGGGTGAGACTCGTCGTCCGACACCACCAGCAGCCGCACGGTGACGTCGTCCTGCACCGGCACGGAGAGAGGCCCGCACTCACCACGGCCACTCACCGCCACCACTCACCACACGGTGACACCGACATCACTCACCATCACCACATGGTGACACCGTAACTCACCAACACTATCACCACACGGTGACACCCACACTCACCACCGCCACTCATCATCACCACACGGTAACACCAACACTGACCACACCACCACTCACTATCACCACATGGTGACACCCACACTCACCACCACCACTCACCATCGCCACACAGTAGCACCGACACTAACCACCACCACTCACCATCACCACTACTCGGTGGAGTGACAGAGGTTGAGAAGCAAGCGCGTTACGGAATACAGTATGGCAATATAAAGACTGGCGGTGCAGTATGTATATACGCCGAGCTCACTGCTCATGGTGGACACTTCCCATGGTGGACACCGGTGGCATTTGACCCCCGCTCGCCCGGCGAGGCGCTACTCACCTTAAACAATGTTGCTCTTTGCGGCTGCTCCTCGCTGACCCTGGAACCGGAACATCAGCATCTTAGGGGCCATCACGGAGGAAACTCACCACATCACCGCATCGCCAGGAATACCGAGACCCGGCCACGTGACACGCCGTGTCGGGATCTATAGCGGCAGCATGGGATCTATAGTGGCGTCTGCTGCGAGTGAACAGCAATTTTTGTCAAGGTTCATACCGTACACAACACCGCCACAGTATTCACCAGGGCGTCCTCTGGAATTCGAACCGTGAACCCCTGCTGAGGCTGTAAGAGGAGCCCAGGGACAGCCGATTCGAGTTGATTTTGTGTAACCAGGCGGAGATAACTCAAGAGACCGCGATATTCAAAACTGTCGTCTCATTTGCAAGAGTGGGTGAGTATTTGGCCGCTATAAATTTCCAAGTAATACTAATTATTATATAGCGGATTTTTTTTCAAGGATCTCAAAAACGCTGTACAGGACACAGCAGCAGCAGACACTCAGCATAAAATTGTATTTTTTTATTACATTTAAAACATCAATTAACTAATCTAAACGTTTAATAAGGGGAAGCGTATGAATAGTTTAATAGGCATTTTTTTTTAAATGTCCAGACTTCGTTGAGTTATCATTTGTGGCCAGGTCGCTTCTACAAAAAGAGCTATCGATTATAGCCCAGTGGGCCTTACCTGGTAAAGTAAAAAAACACATGTGTACAGTTTAGTTTTTTCGAATTTGTGGGTGTCAGTGAAATGTTGAGATAATTGAATGAGTGGGTGATTGAGATGGTGAGTGGGTGAGCCAGATGGTGAGCGAGATGGTGAGTGGGTGATTGCAATGGTGAGTGGGTGAGTGAGATGGTGAGTGGATGAGTGAGATGGTGCGTGGGTGAGTAAGTGAGATTGTCAGTGGGTGAGCGAGTGTGTATGAGATGGTGAGTGAGATAGTGAGCGAGATGGTGAGCGAGATGGTGAGTGAGATGGTGAGATAGTGAGCGAGATGGTGCGTGGGTGAGCGAGATGGTGAGCGAGATGGTGAGTGGGCGATTGCGATGGTGAGTGGGTGAGTGAGATTGTCAGTGGGTGAGCGAGTGTGTGTGAGATGGTGAGTGAGATAGTGAGCGAGATGGTGAGCGAGATGGTGAGTGAGATGGTGAGATAGTGAGCGAGATAGTGAGCGAGATGGTGCGTGGGTGAGTGAGATTGTCAGTGGGCGAGTGAGATAGTGAGCGAGACGGTGAGCGAGATGGTGAGTGGGTGAGCGAGATGGTGCGTGGGTGAGTAAGTGAGATTGTCAGTGGGTGAGCGAGTGTGTGAGATGGTGAGTGAATGAGTGAGTGAAATGGTGAGATAGATGGTGAGTGAGATGGTGAGTGAGTTGGTGAGTGAGATAGTGAGCGAGACGGTGAGCGAGATGGTGCGTGGGTGAGTGAGATTGTCAGTGGGTGAGCGAGTGTGTGAGATGGTGAGTGAATGAGTGAAATGGTGAGCGAGTGGGTGAGTGAGATGGTGAGTGGGTTAGTTCAAGTTGATATTGCGCGTGACCAGGCGAGGACTCTAAGAGACCAGAACGGAGTTTCATTCGCACGAGCGAATGAAGCACAAATAGCAATCAGAACAACAATAAAACAGCAACTGCGTGCTCATATCAGAAATTCATTGTAAGAAAAATGTTTTGCACAAACGTAAAATAATCGTGGTGTATCATGCGGCTCGGTCAGATTCTGTTTGCGCCGATCACAGGTACGTTTTTAATTGCAGGACTGCGAATGAGGTGTTCCACACAGCAGGGACCCGTCCATGCTAACGCGGAGTGGGCACCCGCCAGATACACTGCCCCTCACCTGCGCAGGAACTCGCAGAAGACGGCTGCGTCCTCAAACGCCATGACTCCTACGGCCCACTCTCCCCTCCCTCTCTCCAGAGTCTCTCCCTGCCGTCTCTACTCTCCCCCGGCTCTCCCCAAGTGCAGCTCGTCTCTCCTCTGCGCTCGTCACTACCACGGCTGCTCTCCGCTCTCTCTGAGACTCTCTCTGTGGCTCTCTCTGTGACTCTCTCTGTGGCTCTCTCTGAGGCTCTCTCTGAGGCTCTCTCTGTGACCCTCCCCGCGTCTCTCTCTGTGGCTCTCTCTGAGGCTCTCTCTGTGACTCTCCCCGCGTCTCTCTCTGTGACTCTCCCCGCGTCTCTCTCTGTGATTCTCCCCGCGTCTCTCTCTGTGACTCTCCCCGCGTCTCTCTCTGTGACTCTCCCCGCGTCTCTCTCTGTGACTCTCCCCGCGTCTCTCTCTGTGACTCTCTCCGCGGCTCTTTCTGTGGCTCTCCCTGCGTCTCTCTCTGGCTCTTTCTGCGTCTCTCTCTGTGACACTCCCCGCGTCTCTCTCTGCGTCTCTCTCTGTGACTCTCCCCGCGTCTCTCTCTGTGACTCTCCCCGCGTCTCTCTCTGCGTCTCTGTGACTCTCCCCGCGTCTCTCTCTCTGCGTCTCTCTCTCTGTGGCTCTCCCCGTAACTTCACGTTTCCCGCCAAGCGCCTCGTGAACTCAGCCGCGCTTTCGCGAGCCAGGGCCTCGCACAGATTCGCGTTACCAGGGGGACGGTCATTCGCAATCGGAATTGAACCACACCGCGGTTTCCTTTCCTCGCCTCTGCTAAGAAATAAAAGGACAATATGAATTAAAAAACACAAATCCCGCGTCTTCTCATCGCAGCGCGAGCCGAGGGATTCCATCGATTTAATCACAGCTCACACGATCCGCTATCGATCATGAACACCGCGCGAATCGGCTCCGCTCCAAATATCCGCTACGTGTGCCAGCGCTGGGTCCGTTATTTTAACGATTAATCGATTCCCCGACTCGTGATCGATTAACTCCCATCACCGCAATGTGACCAGCGGGGTGAAGTATAATCAAACAAGCACCCCGCCCACTCTCCGTATGGATGGACAACCCGGCGGTGGACTGACAGAGAGGGATTGTAAACGACTCGTTTATTGCAATAAACCTCACGATACAACATCGCGTGGAATCGTGTGACGCCGATTCGAATGGAGCCGATTCACATACCTCAAACAGTGTCACGTACCTTGTCAACCCATACAGTGTCACGTACCTTGTCAACCCATACAGTGCCACGTACCTTGTCAACCCATAGTGTCACGTATCTTGTCAACCCATACAGTGTCACGTACCCTGTCAACCCACACAGTGTCACGTACCTTGTCAACCCATAGTGTCACGTACCTTGTCAACCCATAGTGTCACGTACCTTGTCAACCCATACGGTGTCACGTACCTTGTCAACCCATACAGTGTCACGTACCCTTGTTAACCCATACAGTGTCACGTACCTTGTCAACCCATACGGTGTCACGTACCTTGTCAACCCATACGGTGTCGCGTACCTTGTCAACCCATAGTGTCACGTACCTTGTCAACCCATAGTGTCACCTACCTTCTCAACCCATACAGTACCACGTACCTTGTCAACCCATAGTGTCACGTACCTTGTCAACCCATACGGTGTCACGTACCTTGTCAACCCATACAGTGCCACGTACCTTGTCAACCCATACAGTGTCACGTACCCTGTCAACCCATACGGTGTCACGTACCTTGTCAACCCATAGTGTCACGTACCTTGTCAACCCATACGGTGTCACGTACCTTGTCAACCCATACAGTACCACGTACCTTGTCAACCCATACAGTGCCACGTACCTTGTCAACCCATAGTGTCACGTACCTTGTCAACCCATACGGTGTCACGTACCTTGTCAACCCATACAGTGTCACGTACCTTGTCAACCCATACGGTGTCACGTACCTTGTCAACCCATAGTGTCACGTACCTTGTCAACCCATAGTGTCACGTACCTTGTCAACCCATACAGTGTCACGTACCCTGTCAAACCATACAGTGTCACGTACCTTGTCAACCCATACAGTGTCACGTACCTTGTCAACCCATACAGTGCCACGTACCTTGCCAACCCATACAGTGCCACGTACATTGCCAACCCATACAGTGTCACGTACCTTGTCAACCCATACAGTGCCACGTACCCTGTCAACCCATACGGTGTCACGTACCTTGTCAACCCATAGTGTCACGTACCTTGTCAACCCATACAGTGTCACGTACCCTGTCAAACCATACAGTGTCACGTACCTTGTCAACCCATACAGTGTCAGGTACCTTGTCAACCCATACGGTGTCACGTACCTTGTCAACCCACACAGTGTCACGTACCTTGTCAACCCATACAGTGTCACGTACCTTGTCAACCCATACAGTGTGACGTACCTTCTCAACCCATACGGTGTCACGTACCTTGTCAACCCATACAGTGTCACGTACCTTCTCAACCCATACATTGTCACGTACCTTGTCAACCCATACAGTGTCACGTACCTTGTCAACCCATAGTGTCACGTACCTTGTCAACCCATACGGTGTCACGTACCTTGTCAAACCATACAGTGTCACGTACCCTGTCAAACCATACAGTGTCACGTACCTTGTCAACCCATACAGTGTCACGTACCTTCTCAACCCATACGGTGTCACGCACCTTGTCAACCCATACAGTGTCACGTACCTTCTCAACCCATACATTGTCACGTACCTTGTCAACCCATAGAGTGTCACGTACCTTGTCAACCCATAGTGTCACGTACCTTGTCAACCCATACAGTGTCACGTACCTTGTCAACCCATACAGTGTCACGTATCTTGTCAACCCATACAGTGTCACGTACCTTGTCAACCCATACAGTGCCACGTACCTTGGCAACCCATACAGTGCCACGTACCTTGCCAACCCATACAGTGTCACGTACCTTGTCAACCCATATGGTGTCACGTACCTTGTCAACCCATACAGTGTCACGTACCTTGTCAACCCATACAGTGTCACGTACCTTGTCAACCCATACAGTGTCACGTACCTTGTCAACCCATACGGTGTCACGTACCTTGTCAACCCATAGTGTCACGTACCTTGTCAACCCATACGGTGTCACGTACCTTGTCAACCCATACGGTGTCACGTACCTTGTCAACCCATAGTGTCACGTACCTTGTCAACCCATACGGTGTCACGTACCTTGTCAACCCATACAGTGTCACGTACCTTGTCAACCCATACGGTGTCACGTACCTTGTCAACCCATACAGTGTCACGTACCTTGTCAACCCATAGAGTGTCACGTACCTTGTCAACCCATACAGTGTCACGAACCTTGTTAACCCACACAGTGTCACGTACCTTGTCAACCCTTACAGTGTCACGTACCTTGTCAACCCATACAGTGTCACGTATCTTGTCTACCCATACAGTGTCACGTACCTTGTCAACCCATACAGTGCCACGTACCTTGGCAACCCATACAGTGCCACGTACCTTGCCAACCCATACAGTGTCACGTACCTTGTCAACCCATATGGTGTCACGTAACTTGTCAACCCATACAGTGTCACGTACCTTGTCAACATATACGGTGTCACGTACCTTGTCAACCCATACGGTGTCACGTACCTTGTCAACCCATACGGTGTCACGTACCTTGTCAACCCATACAGTGTCACGTACCTTGTCAACCCATACAGTGCCACGTACCTTGTCAACCCATAGTGTCACGTACCTTGTCAACCCATACGGTGTCGCGTACCCTGTCAACCCATACAGTGTCACGTACCTTGTCAACCCATACAGTGTCACGTACCTTGTCAACCCATACAGTGCCACGTACCTGTCAACCCATAGTGTCACGTACCTTGTCAACCCATACAGTGTCAGGTACCTTGTCAACCCATACGGTGTCACGTACCTTGTCAACCCACAGAGTGTCACGTACCCTGTCAACCCATAAGGTGTCACGTACCTTGTCAACCCATACGGTGTCAAGTACCTTGTCAACCCATATGGTGTCACGTACCTTGTCAACCCATACGGTGTCACGTACCTTGTCAACCCATACAGTTTCACGTACCTTGTCAACCCATACGGTGTCACGTACCTTGTCAACCCATAGTGTCACGTACCTTGTCAACCCATACGGTGTCACGTACCTTGTCAACCCATACGGTGTCACGTACCTTGTCAACCCATAGTGTCACGTACCTTGTCAACCCATACGGTTGTCACGAACCTTGTCAACCCATACAGTGTCACGTACCTTGTCAACCCATACGGTGTCACGTACCTTGTCAAACCATACAGTGTCACGTACCTTGTCAACCCATACAGTGTCACGTACCTTGTCAACCCATACAGTGTCACGAACCTTGTCAACCCACACAGTGTCACGTACCTTGTCAACCCATACAGTGTCACGTACCTTGTCAACCCATACAGTGTCACGTATCTTGTCTACCCATACAGTGTCACGTACCTTGTCAACCCATACAGTGCCACGTACCTTGGCAACCCATACAGTGCCACGTACCTTGCCAACCCATACAGTGTCACGTACCTTGTCAACCCATATGGTGTCACGTACCTTGTCAACCCATACAGTGTCACGTACCTTGTCAACATATACGGTGTCACGTACCTTATCAACCCATACGGTGTCACGTACCTTGTCAACCCATACGGTGTCACGTATTTTGTCAACCCATACAGTGTCACGTACCTTGTCAACCCATACAGTGCCACGTACCTTGTCAACTTATAGTGTCACGTACCTTGTCAACCCATACGGTGTCGCGTACCCTGTCAACCCATACAGTGTCACGTACCTTGTCAACCCATACAGTGTCACGTACCTTGTCAACCCATACAGTGCCACGTACCTGTCAACCCATAGTGTCACGTACCTTGTCAACCCATACGGTATCGCGTACCCTGTCAACACATACAGTGTCACGTACCTTGTCAACCCATAGTGTCACGTACCTTGTCAACCCATACGGTGTCACGTACCTTGTCAACCCATACGGTGTCACGTACCTTGTCAACCCATATGGTGTCACGTACCTTGTCAACCCATACAGTGTCACGTACCTTGTCAACCCATACGGTGTCACGTACCTTGTCAACCCATACAGTGTCACGTACCCTGTCAACCCTAACAGTGTCACGTACCTTGTCAACCCATACAGTGTCA